TTTGTTATTTTTCATGCATTTACTGATTTTTTTGAGCTATATGACCCTGAAATTCAAAAGAATTCCAAATGAACTCTGAAAATATTGAAAGTTGGCATGGTATCATCATTTCACCCACATAGCATGTGCATAAAAGTTGAGAGGGTTACGACAAAAACTAGATGCACTTCGTGTACAAAATAGACAATCTCTTTCGAAGTATAAGGGTTTCATACGGAAACTCGTCTGTTACAAAGCGATTTCATTTTTATGAACTTATTTGAACTCGACAAATATTGTGTGTTCAAAATGCACCATTAAAAGCCATATCATCAATTTTCAACCCTTTCTGACTTCAGTTGTTATTTTTCATGTATTTAATGATTTTTTGAGCTGAATGACCTTGAAATTGAAAAGCGCTACAAATGAACTCTAAAAAGGTTGAAAGTTGGCATGGTATCAACATTCCACCCACATAGCATGTACTAAAAAGTTGAGATGGTTACGACAAAAACTGGATGCACTTCGTGTACAAAATGGACAATCTCTTTCGTGTATCAGAGTTTTGAACGAAAACTCATCTGTTACAAAGGGATTTCATTTATTTGAACTTATTTTAACTCCAGACTTTTTGTGTGTTCAAAATGCACCATTCAAAGCCACATCATCAATTTTCATACCTTTCTGACTTCATTTGTTATTTTTCATGCATTTACTGTTTTTTGAGCTATAAGACCCTGAAATTCAAAAGCATTCCAAATGAACTCTGAAAATGTTGAAACTTGACATGGTATCATCATTTCACCCACATAGCATGTGCATAAAAGTTGAGGGGTTATGGCAAAAACTAGATGCACTTCGTCTACAAAACAGACAATCTCTTTCGAAGTATGAGGGTTTCATACGGAAACTTGTCTGTTACAAAGGGATTTCATTTTTTGAACTTATTTGAACTCAACAAATCTTGTGTGTTCAAAATGCACCATTCAAAGACATATCATCAATTTTCAACCCTTTCCGACTTCATTTGTTATTTCTCATGCATTTACTGATTTTTTTGAGCTGAATGACCTTGAAATTGAAAAGCACTACAAATGAACTCTAAAAAGGTTGAAAGTTGGCATGGTATCATCGTTTCACCCACATAGCATGTACTAAAAAGTTGAGAGGGTTACGACAAAAACTGGATGCACTTCGTGTACAAAGTGGACAATCTTTTTCGAAGTATCAGGGTTTCAGACGAAAACTCATTTGTTACAAAGGGATTTCATTTATTTGAATTTATTTCACCTCCAGACTTTTTATGTGTTCAAAATGCACCATTCAAAGCCAGATCATCAATTTTCAACCCTTTCTGACTTCATTTGTTATTTTTCATGCATTTACTGATTTTTTGAGCTATAAGACCCTGAAATTCAAAAGCATTCCAAATGAAATCTGATAATGTTGAAAGTTGGCATGGTATCATAATTTCACCCACATAGCATGTGCATAAAAGTTTAGAGGGTTACGGCAAAAACTAGATGCACTTCGTGTACAAAACAGGCAATCTCTTTCGAAGTATTAGGGTTTCATACGGAAACTCGTCTGTTACAAAGGGATTTCATTTTTTTGAACTTATTTGAACTCCACAAATCTTCTATGTTCAAAATGCACCATTCAAAGCCACAATATCAATTTTCAGCCCTTTCTGACTTCATTTGTTATTTTTCATGCATTTATTGATTTTTTTGAGCTGTATGACCTTGAAATTGAAAAGCACTACAAATGAACTCCAAAAACGTTGACAGTTGGCATGGTATCATCATTTCACCCACATAGCATGTACTAAAGAGTTGAGAGGGTTACGACAAAAACTGGATGCACTTCGTGTATAAAATGGGCAATCTCTTTCGAAGTATCAGGGTTTCGGACGAAAACTCATCTGTTACAAAGGGATTTCATTTATTTGAACTTATTTCAACTCCAGACTTTGTGTGTGTTCAAAATGCACCATTCAAAGCCACGTCATCAATTTTCAACCCTTTCTGACTTCATTTGTTATTTTTCATGCATTTACTGATTTTTTGAGCTATAACACCGTGAAATTCAAAAGCATTCCAAATGAACTCTGAAAATATTGAAAGTTGGCATGGTATCATCATTTCACCCACATAGCATGTGCATAAAAGTTGAGAGGGTTACGGCAAAAACTAGATGCACTTCGTGTATAAAACAGACAGTCTCTTTCGAAGTATAAGGGTTTCATACGGAAACTCGTCTGTTACAAAGCGATTCCATTTTTATAAAATTATTTGAACTCCACTAATCTTGTGTGTTCAAAATGCACCATTCAAAGCCACATCATCAATTTTCAACCTTTTATGACTTCATTTGTTATTTTTCATGCATTTACTGATTTTTTTGAGCTGAATGACCTTGAAATTGAAAAGCACTACAAATGAACTCTAAAAAGGTTGAAAGTTGGCATGGCATCATCATTTCAACCACATAGCATGTTCTAAAAAGTTGAGAGGGTTACAACAAAAACTGGATGCACTTCATGTACAAAATGGTCAATCTCTTTCGAAGTATTAGGGTTTCAGATGAAAACTCATCTATTACAAAGGGATTTCATTTATTTGAACTTATTTCAACTCCAGAGTTTTTGTGTGTTCAAAATGCACCATTCAAAGCCACATGGATAGATAAGTGACCGAAATAATAGAAGTTCATCATCAAATTATGTGTGTCAAAAACCATTACAGATTCACATGGATAGGTAAGTGACCAAATTAATAAAAGTTCATCATCACATTAAAAACAAAGTACATACATAGTTCTCATTGAACAATATATAGCTCTCCAGAGCATCTAGTTAAACCATACATTGAAACTATGTGAAACCTTTCAATGCAACAATAAATGCGATCATAATCACAACGAAGGTAAAAATTGATCCAACAACATAATGATACCAAGCCTCGGTATGAATGGCATATTTTCTAATCTTTCTCATCTTCAACCGCATTGCATCCATCTTGATCTTGTGATCATCGACGACATCCGCAACATGCAACTCCAATATCATCTTCTCCTCCTCAATTTTTTTTATTTTTTCCTTCAAGTAATTGTTTTCTTCTTCAATTAAATTTAATCTCTCGACAATAGGGTCGGTTGGAATTTCCGGTTCAACTACCTCCTACATAAATAAAATCTATGTGAACTTGATGGGCATAATTGTCATGAACAATAAATGAACCAAATAGTTATAAAAGATAATATATACCACATCCGAATCATAGCCAGGACGAGGTCCGACGGGGGTGGATCCCAAAACCCTCGCACTATATAATAACAAGCAATAATAAAAGTAAGAAAATTAGACAAGTATCTATCTAAAGTAAGAATTTTTTTTCTTTCAGAAGAAGATAAGAGGCTCACCACAGTGGTGCAGGCGACGAGATCGGCGTGTGCGATCGACGACGGTGAAGACGGGGACGATACGTGATAGACCGCTAAACGTACACAAATCTCGGGGAAAATGGAGCTTGGATGTCGACCTCTGAGAGAAGAAAGCTTAACTAGCGTGGCTCGGGCATTTCATCGAACACCTCGTGTGCATAGGAGGTGAGCTAGAGCACCCAAATGCCCTCTCCTCGCCGGCCAGAAAAAATAGAGCATTGTGGAGTGCTCTGCTGCAGCGACGGGGTATATATAGGCAACTCATTATATTTGTCCCGGTTCGTGGCTGGAACCGGGACTAAAGCCCAGCCTTCTGTCCCGGTTCGAGCCAAGAACCGGGACCAATGTCTGTGGGCCAGGAGCGAGGACCATTGGACCCGGTTCATGCCTGGAACCGGTACAAATGGGTCCATACGAACCATGACCAATGCCCACGAGGCCCCGGCCGGCCCCCTGGGCTCACGAACCGGGACGAATGCATCCATTGGTCCCGGTTCATGGAAGAACCGGGACTAATGGGTTGGCCAGGCCCGAACGAAAGCCCCTTTTTCTACTAGTGTAGGTCTGCTCACCGGCCGCCCACGCAACGTGAAGGAGTTCCCAGGGCGATGGCCCAAGACCCCTGGGGGCACTACAAGGATTCGGGTCTATTGTAACAAAATCGTTCGTCGTAATACATGCTGATTTGTGGCGATAAGTACATATTGCCACGAAACAACATATGTTGATAGCCGTTGCGGCTGGACACATGCTAATAGGTTATTGCCACAAAAAAGCAATTGTGAAAAAAAAGGTTGTGCTATTGCAACAACCATGTGGGAAGTTGCCACATGTTTTCCTGTGGCAACACTCACCTGATGCCACAATTTGCTTTGTGGAGATAGGTTTAATGCAACATGTAACAAATCATGGCGACTAGTAGCTCATGGCGATAGACATTTGTGGCAACACCCTATGCCAACGATGTTTGTTTCGTGGCGCATACTCTTCCATGGCAATAGTCAATTGTTGCAATAAACTATGGCAACAATCTTTGCTTTCGTGGCATTAGGCATTTTGCTATGAACCGCTACACTTGTGGCATTAAGTTATGGCAACAAATATTCCAGTTGTGGTAACAGGAAATTGCAACATACTAGTTTTGGTGGTGATAAATAGATATCACGACGGGTGAACTGTTTGTAGCGAGAAACTATTGTGACAATATAAAATTTTCGTGGTGCCAATATGTGGCAACCAAAAGTGGGTTGTGGTAATATTCTATTGCAACTGTCAAAAAATAGAGGAAGTCAATTACAATATTCGAAACCATAGTATAATATGTAGATTCATAAAATTCATAATTCTCATAGCAAATATCCATCAAATGAAACTTAAATGTAATTTAGCCATCCTAATTAAGTGCCAAGACTAAACTGTCCATGATCTAGAGTCCAGTCGAGCCAGTTCTTTGGATCCTGCAATCAAGAAATAAAAAATAGTTCTATTTAATGAGTCCAACATAACATACGCCATACAATTTTTCCAGACCCATTGTTAAAAAGAACTATTGCTAGACTAACTGGAGCAATACTGTGTCAACAAGCATGTAACTGAGGGATCAGAACAGTTTTACAAGTGTAAATGTCTAAAGCATAAACACAAGTACATGTACTAAAAGCTTCACCTATTGATTTAAGTTGTGACTCAATCTATAGTTTCAGTTAAGTTCATGTCCCTAGCTAGCACATATTCGTTTTGTGTAAGTTGTGACTCGATGCAGCAGCAACACATGGTGAAAGAGAAGAAGCAGCTAGTTAATTAGGAAGGCCAATGACGTAAGTATAAAATGCAGGTGAACATGAAGAGAAAGCAATGTTGTGACTTACCATTGCTTCAAACATTTGAGAATTCTTTGTTGTAGCTTGTATGAGTGCATTTGGAGAAATAACAATTAGCCTTCCACCTTGAGTATTATTAGGACTAGATCTCTGTAAAAGAGTATTTTGCAAGTTTGTACTACTATTTTCTTTCTCAATCCTCTTCGTAGTCACTTGCAAATAGAAGTGCACTTTTAGCAATGTACTAGTAAATGTGCATGTACAATGCACGTCTTGACTAATACTCCCTCCGTCCCAAAATTCTTGTCTTAGATTTGTCTAAATATGGATGTATCAAGTCACGTTTTAGTATTAGATACATCCGTATCTAGACAAATCTAAGACAAGAATTGTGGGACAAAGCGAGTATTACAATCATATGTGAAACTTCACTTGTGTATGTATTCAACGTGCACCATTGAATTAATCATATGAAATCAGCAAATATACAGTAAACTTTACAAATCGATCTAACAGAAGATCAAACATTACCCTGGTCATAGCGAAGTTTCAACTTGTAGTGTAGCAAGTTCTTCATCTTCAGTTGTAGCTTTCTGTGGAGCAGGGAGAATTGCTTGCTTATTTACAAGACACACACTGCTACCACCAATTCTTCAAGTTCCTCCTTTGGTTAATCCTGCACATTTTGTGAAATAGTATTAATGATAAGCAACTCAGCTAAAACAACGAAACGGAAGATTGTAATAAATCTTAAATATTACCTTGTTCAAATTAGCAAAAGCAAGAGGATCTGACAATGCATCGTGAATTTGTTTCATATGTCCAGTCAATCTGTTAATTCCACCCATATCTTTTCAACGCACCAATATTTCAAAAATATGCATGTAGCAATCAAAATATCTAATTTGCAAGGCTGAAAAGCTACACATGAAGCATTTGCAAGACCGTGACCATAGTAATGGTATACCTGGGAATGAAATTGGAGATTACAGTCACAAAGCATAAAATAAAGTAGTTGGGCGCAAGAGAAAAGCTCCACATATAGTGAGATGGCTCATACGTCCATAAGACTACATGGTGTTTGTTTGGATAAACTATTTTTCCAATCGACAAAGCCCAAGTCTAAAATCAAAAATATCAAGATGTATTGACAGTTATCGAACTTGCAAGATATATTCTTTAAGCTTGATTTGTCCAAAATCATCTTAAACTTTCAGAAATCGGAAAAGGTGGGTGGATTTCCTTCTATGATAAATAAAGAATGGAAAAATATGTAATGATAATTTTGTATCCCTGGTTACTTCCTACACTAAATTAAGAACTGAGACACGTAATTACCAAGTATTTTACAAGATCCATGATTATTTCATCATATAGTAAAATAGCAATGGAGACAACAACTAATGAGTAATGACCAAGGGTCTTTTCAAAACATCCTGCATCCGAATAAATCATCAACACAAACCAAGGGCCTGAAGCTGCTCGCTGATTTTCTCCTATTGGCTCTGCAGCACGATTCAGTTAAAACGGATGTTTAGTTCAAATCCACCAAAATCCCAAGAGAAATGCAAAACATTTTAGTGCATATGGTAGACAAAAAATGCAGTTTCGGCAATGAAACTACTTGCAGGCTTGACGTTTCCTTGCGCGGGGCGGTGGTGATGCGCGCCACCTTGTTCACCTTGCTGGTCATCATGCCCAATAAACCTAAGAAGGTGGACCATGTTCAGCATCTTTTTTGTACTGTGAAAATAATAATAATATGTATGCTTGTCAATTAGAGGCCCACAATAACACTTTCTATTGACTTCAATCACTGGTAGGAAAAGGGCCTTTAGTCCCGGTTCGTAAGGGTCTTTAGTCCTGGTTCTGGAACCGGGACTAAAGTGTCGGTACTAATGCCCTGACCCTTTAGTCCCGGTTAAATCCAGAACCGGGACTAAAGGCCCTCCACATGGCCGGTCCACCTTTAGTCCCGGTTGGTAACACCAATCGGTACTAAAGGAAATTTCCTGATTTTTTTATTGAAATTTTTTTTGAAATTTTTTTGAATTTTTTTTGAAATTTTTTTTTGAAATTTTTTAACCTCTAATCTCTAATCACCCATCATCACTGCTCAATTTAATCTCTAATCACCCCTCATCATTCCAAATCATCTCACTTCCCGAATGGTCACCCATCCTCTCATCCCCATTAGTCCCGGTTCGTGCCTCAAACCGGGACTAAAGGTCTAATCTTTAGTCCCGGTTTGTGGCACGAACCGGGACCAATGGTTGTGGGCCAGGAGTGAGGCCCATTGGTCCCGGTTCATCCCACCAACCGGGACCAAAAGGTCTAGATGAACCGGGACTAATGCCTTAGCCGCACGAACCGGGACCAATGCTCACATTAGTCCCGGTTCTAGACTGAACCGGGACTAATGGGCTGAGCCGGCCTGGACCATAGCCCTGTTTTCTACTAGTGAATATTTGAAAATTTATTTTCTTCCCGCGGGACATTTTTTGTACGAAAGAATATTAGAGAAATTTAGTTAAACAAACATTAATTATGCTCATGTCCACCAAAATCCCAAGGGAATGCAAAACATTTGAGTGCATATGGTAGAAAAAAATTACAGTTTTGGTGGCGAAACTACTTTTGCGGGCTTGGCCAGTCCTTGTGCATGGCGGTGGTCATGAGCTCCACCGGCTTCGCCTTGCTGGTAATCATGCTCAATAAACCTGGGAGCAAGAAGGTTGAACATGTTCATCAGTTTTTTGTAGTGTCCAAAATAATAATATGTATACTTATCAATTAGAGGTCGACAACAACCCTTTCTATTCACATTTTAAAGTTTATTTTCTTCCTTAGTAAGAACAAAAATCATGCTAGGAAAAACAGATTTTACTCAATGATTAGTTTATCTGTTGAGCAAATAGTTATAGGTTCAGTTGACACCTTTGTGTTTTTGTTACTGATTTTTAGCTCCTCTGTTTTTCTCTTCTTTGTAGGCTGAGAGTATATCCAACCTTTGATAAAGTTTTGAATGTTGAAAGTTCTGAATCTATATGTTAGATTTATCTAGCTTTTTTCTAGGCTGAGAGTATATCCACACCCTTTTAAGGCAGTCAATGGACAGAAAATTAGTAGAAGAACGATAGATACGGTGTGTTTCAGGATGTAACTGTAACCGAAAATGGGGTTTCTTGATTCTAAAAGTATGCATTGCAAATGCTCTTGTCAGAAGCAACTCCCTGAGAACCTGTAATATTTGTTGCAACAACAGCGACCACAGCGTGGAGCAGCGGAAGAATAGCCCAGAAATTGCATGACCTGCAAACCAAAAATTAGGACCAAATTAGAGAGTTCTATAGGACTTCAATGGATGGGAAATTTCAGGAGAATCCTTCAATGTTTTTGTTTGAAAGGGAGAGAATCCTTCTATGTTCATAAGAATCCCAAGAGACAAAACATATAGGCTAGTATGACACGGAGGCCCATGCCACATGACGCCGGAAGCGGGACGAACGTGCCTCCTTCACGCATGACGCCCTCCGCCGCGCAGCCGCCACGGCACTGTTGCGCGCCCGCACCATAAGGCCTGCCACGTGCAGCTTCGCCGTCGAGCCCCTCACACACGTCTCCACCTCTATTCTCTCTGTTCTATTTCTCTTCTGGAGCAGATTCATTTATCTCCCCATGATCCAATCGCACTATCAAAGGTCCTGATTGTACCACACTGGGTCAATTACTTCTCACTTTTCTCTCAAGTTTCTCGCATCTCTACTCTGCTTCTTTGAGTCCAATTGTTTTGGGTGAACAATCCTTCAGTTAACCTCCACGGTACACAGCTTGTTTCTATGGACGCCGGACCAATAATTAATACCTTCTGTTTCGATTTAAAATTATCCATTAAGACGAATATGCAGAACAGAATCATGCAGACACATATTAACAGAAAACACATCTAGGAGTAGATGGAACTTTATCTGAAGCCACACGACGCGGACTTCAATTCAGCCTAGGCATTCTAACGAAAACCACAGAGAGATGCCGGTCCAGGTGCCAGGAACTTGGAGGTTTATTCAAGTTGCAGCCAAATTGGCTTCCAATTGAAGCAGGAAAGTAGGGAATACACACACACACACACACACACACACACACACAAAGATCAATCTACATCGCTCGCTATGGAGGTTCAGGGATGCGGCTTAGTGATGAACCTGGTCGCGACATCTCCACCTCCGGATTGGCCATGTGGCGAGCAGCCCCGACGTAGGCAGGCCGGCACTGTGCTCGCGATGTAGGGAAGAAGATGGGAACTCCGTCGGCGCCGACGCCAGACCGCATCGCTGCCGCTGGCAGCATGGCCGAGGACACGGAGACGTGGCCAGCGTCGGCGGGCACGGAGGAGAGGGCGAGATCGAGGACGACGAATCCTCGTCGTGCAGTGGACTCCGGTGTGGTTCGCTGTGTTGACGCCGTGATGGAGGAACCAGGACGAGAGCTCAGATCCAAACGCCCGTGAAGACGCCGTGTGATTTGGTTTAGAATAGTATAATCATGGGTAGTTAAGAAGGCAAGGATAAATAGACTCTATTTTTTTAGTGGGAACACAAAATATTGGCGCAAACTAAGTAAACCAAAATTTGGTGGTGGGAAAGTAATTATTTTTAGATGGAATGTTTAGAATAATAAAATAAATTGGAAAACGAATATTTCAAAGCAATATGAGATATATATGCTCCTAAATATAATGTTACTAAAATATGTATGTCAAATGTTATTTCTTGTTGAAAAGACCACCAAATTCGAGAATCATGGAGGGGCGATCCGGCGCCTTCCCCTCTAACTTTCTCGCCGTCGATATTTGTATATTTCTTATTTATACATTGTTTCCCGGTTATTTAGTATACATATATGGTATGAATAAGTAGTTCAACGTGACCAATCCAGAGCATCATATGTTTAGAGGATACCATATTTTGCATTGTTGTTGTCATTGAGTGTTTTCAAGTCCCGACAAATCGTCTCACGACTATCATCTTCCTTCCGAACTAGATCGGGATATTCCCGATGAAATCGTCTCACGCCTGTCATCTTCCTAAGTACGGCGGTAGGCGGCGTGTGGGAAGCTCACATCCATGGCCGGTGGAGAGCCTCGAGCTCGCGGGCGAAGGTCGGACAGAGGGACAGAGGAACTGCTTGGTCAACATCGGGGACGGAGGAAGAGGGCGACGGGAGCCATGGCCGACCAGGAGCGGCGTGCAAGGTCAGAGGGGCGGCTCGCCGGACGGGGCTTGCCGTCCCGCAGAAGTAGGGGTTGCGACCGGTGCTAGAGCATTGTCGCCGGATAACACGGCTGTAGGTACTGTCGGATTTCGGGTTCCGGCAAAACCCTTGAGGTTCGAACACTGGGGTGCGCACAAAGATCTCTCCCCCTCTCTAGCTCGCACACCCTACGATCTCACGGCCTAGCTCGACGAACCCAAAGAACATGAGACACATGATTTATACTGGTTCGGGCCACCGTTGTGGCATAACACCCTACTCTAGTGCGGTGTGGTGGATTGCCTCTTGGGCTGAGGATGAACAGCT